AGGGGCCCCCATTAGATGAGGAGGACTGTGGGCCCCCCCCTCTAATGTTCTCGGCCCGTAATGTAGTAGATAAGGGTACCCCAGGGGCCCCTATGGGGGGCCCCCGGGGGGGCCCCTCTAAGGTAAAAGTACCCGTTCTATGGGAGGCCCCCTACTCTTGTGGTAATCCAGCAGTAGAGCGTATTACGGGCATAATTAGGTATCTAAGTACCCCTCCAAGGGGCCCCGAGGGGCCCCTAAGGGGGGCCCCCCCTTATCAACCTGTTCCAGCAGCAGCAGCAGCAGCAGCAGCAGCAACAGCAGCAACAGCATCAACAGCAGCAGGAGAATCAGGAAATGCTGAGGTGGAGGACTGTTGCCGTAGCAGCAGCAGCAGCAGCAGCAGCAGCAACAGCAGCAACCTCCCGTCTTCTACAGCAGCAGTTGGTGCCCCCCCTACTCCTCCTCCTCCTCCTCCTCCTACTACTACTACTGCTGCTGCTGCTGTTGCAGGGGAGGCCCCCCCCCTCTCTTGGATGCCTGAGGGCCCCACGGTAGTCCTAGTAGCACCACGTATACCTACATATGTGTCTCCTGCTGCAGTATGCAGTTTGCTGCTAAATAATACCAATTGTCTCTTTTTACAGGCAAAAGTACTAGAGGGGATAAATAAATTTGAATACTTAATGCTGCTGCAGGCAGAGACTGCAGCAGCAATGCATGCATTACATCTATTTAATGGGGCTTTCTTAGGGGGCCCCCTAGGTACCTTCCTTGATCTACATCTTGTATACTCTGTATCTATACATCTACAGCAACAACCAGGAAAGGGGGGTGGGGGGGCCCCCTATAGGCAACAACATTCTATTGGGAGTAGTGGGGGGGCCCCAGCCGGAGGGGGGGGCCCTTGGGATATTGGGGGGCCCCTGTGGGGGGCCCCACCATGCCCTATTGACCCAAGAACTAATATGGGGGCCCCTGGGGGCCCCAAAACACTTTCTTACTTCCCTAGACCTATTGGGTATGTTAAACCTAGTAAGGATACCCTCTGTGTAAGGGGGCCCTCATCAGCAGGAGCTGCAGCAGCAGCAGCAGCAGCAGCAGCAGCATCTCCTGCTGCTGCTAGTGGTAGTGGGAGTGGTGCAGGACGAGCAGGTGGAGGAGGAGGAGGAGGAGCAGCAGCAGCAGCAGCAGCAGCTACGGATGTGGATAAAGAAGGGGGGCCCCCTGATGAGGGGCCCCCAGGGGGCCCCCCTAGTAATGAGGTATTTGTTAATCCCCTGCAGTTATTACCTTGTTATGATTCCCTACATTTCTGTGCCGTCTGCCTAGAGAGACTTACATTGGCGGGGCCCCCTGCAGCAGCAGCAGCTGCTGCTGCTGCTAATGCTGCTAATGCTGGTGCTGCTGCTGCTGCTACTACTACGGGGGGACAAGCGGATACTGCAGCAGCAGCAGCAGCAGCAACAGCAGCAGCAGCAGCAACAGCAGCAGGGGAAGGTTGTATTACTCAATTATCTAGTCCTATATCAGGGGCCCCCCATGGTTCTCCTCTACCAGGGGGCCCCCCAACGGGCCCCCCAACTGGACCCTCTACTGGCCCTCCTACTGCCCCTCATGGAGGCCCCCCTGGAACGCCACCTGGGGGCCCCCTGTCGTGTACCCCTATAGGGCCCCCTGGGGCCCCCCCTACATCATTTTCTAGCGGATCTTTTCCTATAGAGAATAATAATACAAATAATAATAATAATAATAATAATATAAATAATAATAATAATATAAATAATAATAATAATACACTAGATATGCCCCTTGCTGTCTTATGTGGTCATTCTTTTCATGTATCTTGCCTAAAGAATTGGTTTTATTTTTCTTGTCCTCTTTGTCGTTATCAGCAGCAACCTGTACAACCTTCTTGCTGCAGTGTATGTGCAGATATACATTATATACTTGTTTGTCTTGTATGCGGATTTACTGGGTGTGGGGGGCCCCATAAGGAAGAACAGCAACAGCAGCAACAGCAGCAGCAAGGGCAGCAGCAGCAGCACTTGCAACGGGCAGGAGAGGGAGGTGTTAGTTCCGTCTCTTTGTCTTCTTATAGTGACGAGCAGCAGCAACAGCAGCAGCAGCAAGATAGAGGGGGGGCCCACGAGGGAGAAGGGTATAGGAGGGTACAGGAGGGGGCCCCTATAGGGTCACTAGAGAGGGACTGTCTCCTTTATAGGCCTAGGCATGCATTCCTTCATTATAAGGAGACAGGACACTCACATGCTGTAGAGGTAAGAACCCTAAACCCTAAACCCTAAACCCTAAACCCTAATTTTTATTCCTGTCTCCTTTTTGTCTTTTTTTTTTGTCTCTTTTTTGTTTCCTTCCCCTCTTATTAATAACTATATTATTAATTAAATATAATAAAAAATCCCCTTATTTATAAATATATTTATAAATTTATATATTTATTTATTTATTTATTTATTTATTTATTTATTTATTTTTTTTTTTTTTTTTTCTCCTTACTCAC